AAATGATACTACTCGATTTAATTATAACTGCATTCACTGTCCGATGTCATTTTAATAAACAGCTCGGTCATTATCGACACAATTGGAATTAACGTTGATAATAAAAATAAGATAAGTATCGATGACAATGGCCGAGTAATTTTGTTTGCTTGACCGACGTATTCCTTCAGGTCGCGTGACAATGCAAACAAATAAGTGGCCAACCGGACTCATAAAGTATGCAATTTCTCGGAGAGCCAGCGGAGATCCCTAAGAGAGCATTTCGCGATATTGAAAGGCTTTTTACGTCGCAAGTATTAACGGCATCGACAGTCCGCCTACCTCGACAGTCAACGCGAAGTCGAAGGAAAGCCGAGATCGCGTGGGTTAAGCGAAAGTGAAGTTCCGCGTGCGCACGTGGAGGTTTATCTTGCCGAGGTCTACGATTATTGCCAATGCGCTCAGCCATTACTAATATTAGCATATCGTATTGTTCCAACATCCACCTGTGCATCGGCGCATGCGCTGTCCAGTAGCGTGGAAAGCCTCGAGGACAATAGCTAATGAGTGGCCTTGGCTTTGAAATATAAAGTATCTTAGACGAAATGTTCAAAGACGTTGTGACAGAACCCGTTGACGGCAGCCAAATCCTGTTCCTGAATTCTTTTTACGGGCTGGAAAAAAGGAAGTGTTTATTTGGCTATCGCTTACATTCGTCCTCTAAAAAGTCGACTATAGCAGTAGTTCCACGGAGAGAGAGGAAAGTTTCCGCTCGCTTTATTAAACACCAAATCTTATTCGATGATTAAGATCGTTCGAGCAAAATTGCAGGCTTTAGTTTATAAGGAATTTTAATAATCTTTGCTCGTATGCGTAAAACTTCTTACGTACTTTAATGTCGAGGTAAGCGGTCGCGTAGCATTATCTTTTGTAAAAATATTGTTTATGATTTATGGAAGCGGAAATGGCTTGAATGTACGGTGAAAACTCGATTTAGGAGAGACGGAGAGCGTAGTTTTCTGAACATTGATTCGGATGATTTGATCAATTTGCTCACCATAATAAGCCGCATTAAAGATTATCGTACGTCATTATCAATTGTTACTATCTCTTTTAAGAGCAGGGAATATTCGTTGAAAGCTGATAATTATCGACATTACATAATCAAAAGAGCGAAATTGGCAAATTAATCGAATGGAAAGACAACATTTTAACTGATTAAACGTTACGCCATATAAACGCACGAAATAGAAAAAGGATAATTTCACTTTTGTTGCCCCTCTCACACACGTGTACACATAATTCGTTATAAATTTACAATTTCATTATATATTGACTTTAAAGGAATACGTCGAAAGTTGCAGTTAAAAATGCGCTCCGGCAGCGAAAGCTCGATAAGAAGTCCCTGGAAAAAGTACATATACTCTAATTAGCTTTAGCGATGGGTCCGAGCAAATTCGAGAAGGGCCGAAAGAATTTTCTTAATTACCAAGATAGATATTTGGCCAATTAGTAGTATCGCAAGCCTGGCCCTTATTTATAAATTAAAATAACGCGCGACGGCCGCATTAAAATCATAATAACGATATTACTCAATAAAACGCGTCCGATCCCGAAAACAGTAATAGTTATCGAAGTTTTTTGGGCATTGGGGAGAGGGGGATGCGAGCGTGTGGAAGTATCGATAATGCCAAAATCAGACTGAAGTTTGACGTTTTTTCAATCAAAAGTATGGGTGGTTAGGTTGAGCGAGAGAGGCGAGAATCTCCGCAGATGGCGCCTCACGAGTGCGATTAACGGGACCGAATGTGCAGCGCGTGCCGTCGCCAAAGATATGCGCCAATGAAACCACCTTTCTCCTTCGGCTTGGAGGAGATTTTTCAAACGCAGGGTCAAGATACTTTCCATTGAGACTTCACGAAGCTCTTGGCCAATACGGCAACGTCACGCGCTCCGCGTTAAGCCTCTCGTTATATCACGTAGCTTCGCGTACATTCGGCTTATCCTCCTGGCTCAAGCCACTAAAATTCACCGATATCCCGTGCCGACGTTCTCCTTCCCTGCCTTACTCTGGCTCATCATCTAGGCTCCATTGGCTAATTCTGGCTCCCGGAGCAATGGGATGATTAACGGCGTCGAGGAGAAGACGAGTGTCTTGATCCTCGCACAATGCGTGGCGAATCATTGTTATTAAGTTAGGTAGCACGTGGAATTAAGCTCACTTATCTGACTAATCTCGTTCGAAAGTAAAAGCACAGCCTTTGACTTTTCATATTTTCCTTTGGTTCTACCAGCGAACGACAGGCCATACATAAGTTGGTTAAAAATACCCGATAGGGTGTCGTCAAGTAGTCACTTAACTGCAATTCATTTTTATCATCGATTCGTTTCGCCAATAAACTTAAGTTTTTCTATACATTTTTCTCGTACGTCTTATCAGTTGACTTGGCAATACGTATAAATGTATATGGGCTTTGTAAGAAATTAAGAAAACACGAAATGACATCTTTACATTTTATAGTATTAATAAATCGCTTGAATTGCAAAGAGGAATTAGAAGTCATAAGCGTGGCAAAATTATATTCTATCGCGATAAATATTTCATCGTTAGTTCGTATTTTAGAATTCAAAACTTTTTATGAAAAAATCCAATTTCAGTTAAATAAATTGATTCACGAGAATACCTTTTTATTTAATAAATAAGAGTACTTTCTCAAAATCTTCGCCATTATCAATAAAGAAAGTTGTGGCATCTTTTTGAATTTTTAAATGTACATGAATTTTAATTTATTTATTCTTTATCGATGACAAATAAAAATTTAAATTAAAAAAAATAATAAATAAAGAAATAAATAATAAATAAATAAAGAAATGGTCTCACTCTTTTATTATAAATAGTAAGTTACTTCTTAATCTATTCGATTAAATATAATTATACGACGGGAAAAGTCATTTCACTTTTTAGGGCAAAATGTAAAATGCATTTATTTTAATGTCAAAGACAGTAATTGTCGTGAAACTAAAACATTATGTATTAATTCGCACGATCTATTAAATAGACCATTGATTTTATAACAAGGAAATAGTAGTCTATATTTTTCCAAGAAAACAATGTGAAAATTTACATTTTCAAATAAACTAGTAAATGAATAAGAAATTTAAGAGCACGATAACTATAAAAATTGCATTATTATCGTTTTTTTCTTTTTCTTCTAGGTGAAATCGTATATTAAAATATGTATATTTGAGGAAACGTATAAAGAATAAGGAACCAGTAAACAATAATCGATTACAATTAGCATAGGAAGAGCTCGAGCCTCGAGGTTACATCGAATTGTATAAGAAATTTTTCGCCATTTGTCAGGCTCGTTTGTTTTAACGATCACTGAAATACCTCATAGGAGATGCTGCTAGGCCGCAAAATTCAGAATATAACGATCGTTAAACGTCCACTCTGGTTTACATTCGACGGCACTTTTAAGCTTTTCTCAACTGGAAATTCATACTTTCATTTTACTCCGACTATACTTTATGTATTGCTTGTGGATCAATGATAGGTACATATGTAATGAATTTCGAAGAATATTTTCTCATTATTATTCACAGCTGAATAACGAGATATTTGTATATTTTAACCTCGATTGATTTACGAAAAAGTGTTACAAATTGATTATCAAAAATTTCTGCTTTACTCATACATCGAAAATAAGAAATTCTATTTTTCCTCGGCTTATCTAATGCAACCTCTGCAAATTTCTACTAACGTTTCTCGTTTATTATTTTCACGAATTTGTCGACTTAATGTGCACTACTATTTACCTACCGCCTTTGCACTCGATCTTCTGTAATAATAATAATAAATATTCATTTGTATCGATTAACATGCGAAATTCGGATAAATAAATATGTTAATTTCTTTCTTTAATCTAATTAATGCCAATCAATTGCATATTTACATGAAAACAAAACAAAAGAAAAGAAACGATAAGAAAAAAATCGTTAACAAAAGAATAATGGAATAATGCATTATTGGTTGATATTAAAAAAATATATATACATTCGCATAATATAACATCTTATTATTATGTACTATTTTATATATCTATAACAAATGAGCGAAAATTGAATGTCAAAAGTTATAACGATCTCGTTTTTTAATAATAAATTCCACTTATACGATAATGGGAATGTAGTCGAGTAGAGTCGAGTAGCAATAATGTATGCAGAAACTTTTAATGTCACATCGTATCAATAGACTTTCAGTTTCTTTTCTTTTTCATTTGTTTTTGTTTTTGTTTCTTTTTTCTCTCTTTTCTTTCTGTATCATACGATTAAAAAATATACTACCATAACTCTATCGCTACTATATCTATACTACGAATAAATGCTTATATTTATTGTTTACATTGTATATTAAAAGAATAAAGAATTGCAAATTTATATAAACGTAACGATTTCGAAGAAAACATGATCAACGCTCATAAATTATGTTCACCATGTTTCTACAAATTAGAAATTAACATTCCGCAATTTCGCCAAATAATGCACTTGAGCGTAACAAGTTTCTAATCAATGATACCAGCCAGTTGTCGAAGCCACGAAGTAAGTACAAGCCCAAGTATAAATATAAAATTCTCATGTTAATAAATGAGTTCCTTAAGAAGGACTCTAGTTCGCACTCTTGTTAAATTCCAATATAAAGCGATTTTGAAAAAATTTCGAAAAAAAGACAGCTCCTCCCGCGCTCATCTAAGCCTTTCCCCGACTCTCGAGAGCATTGCACTCGTCTTACTTCCAGTGAAAGTGTTAAATTACATCTTCGACTCGGCTAGTGGTACATTCGATTCCTCGAGTAACAGGCACAAATTTCATTTCACAAATCCACTAATAAATCCACACGGGACTGGCTATCCAACAGCCCTTCTCTATTTATTCCAAATTAAGCATGCCCGACTCTACTGGCGAGACGAATGGAAGCTCCAGAGCCCAAACTCTCGCTCTACGAACGGACTGCTACTTACCCGACGACGATGCTTCGCTGAGTCGAGGCCAGGAAGGAGCGAGATCACGCGCTCCGTTATCTTGTCACAACGAGTGTTACGCGCACCCGTAAACGAGAGGCTTCGGCACGAGAGGAAGCCGCTGTTGCGCCACGCGGGACTTACGCAACCGCGGAGTTCCGGAGATCCGGACGCAAAAGCCGCCGCTACTTTCACGACCGAGTGACTTTCTCCGCGCATCCCCGGGCAGAGGCCCGTGGGGGAGGCGCACCGCGAGCCTCCGGCCGACCGAACGAATCCATTGGACGGATTAGGTACGGACGGAGACGAGAGCAGCGCGCGACCTATCGCTGGGAGATTGGTCTCGACGTCGAGATCCGCTAAGATAATCTCGTACCTTCGACCGAGTTCACTGACGAGTCACCCGGCGGCTGATTCCTAGCTTTCGTGGCTCTTGTCGCTGCCGAGCGACGTCCAAGAAGGGAGGAGAACAACCCTGGGACTCGAGAGCTCCGTCTCGGTGCTGCGCGCGACGTTGACTGGCCGAGGGGCGCCGGTCGCCATTTCCCCGATCGATACGACTACTATATTAAGGTCGAGTCACGGCAGGACATCTCGGCGAGGAGGTCCTTGTGCCGATTGGGGCTCTGGATCGCCTTCCATGATAAGACTTTTCCAGGGAGATCGATATTAAAGCGACGATTAATAGGAAGTCCTTTGGACTCGAGGAGGAGGAGATGGAGAAGATGGAAGAGATGGTGGAGATGGTGGAGATGGTGGAGATGGTGGAGATGGTGGAGATGGTGGAGATGGAGGAGATGGAGGAGATGGAGATAGTTATTAAATTGTCACGAAAGTTGAGCGCGAATGGACAAGCAAGATCGTACTGATAAACTTTGAATTGCCTTTGACGATTTAAGAATCAATCGACAGCGTCGAGCCTTATCCTGCCTTCCGTATGAGGCTAATTCCTGTTTGCGCGCCATTTGACTCTCATGCACTACGCGCACTTTTCGTATGATAATTCAAAGTGACTCTCGTCCCAAATGATATGGAAAGTGCAAAATTAATTATCCGCTAAAAGGATTGGGAAAAATGTATGCGCATAGTTGTATGAAATCGTCGAGCGACATTACCACGAATATTCGCTTAATATCCATTAATCTTTTAATACCGACTTCTCTTTCTCTTTCACAATTTCGTTGCTGTTCATTCTTGGCTGTGCAGTCGTTCGTCGTCGTGCAAATGTAATAGCTGTACTAATGCCTCGCATGCGACATAAATTATAGTATATTATACGCATAATATGAGTCTATCACGACGACGTATCTACGGCATGCCAATGCTACTTTTGTTCTTATCGCGTATAGGTAACGCAAATTTTAGAGAAATGCCTTAGTCTTACCGTCTTTCGTTACGATCCTAAGTTTCTTACGTGTTATTGCGCCTTCTGGTATTGAAAGTTTTTTTTTTTTGCGAGTCCGGTAAGTTTATATTTATATGAAGCTAGAACTCAGAAAATTAATGAATTTAAGTAGATAAATTTATAATGCTCGCTTAGAATATACTCAGTTCTGGATTATTTAAAATAAATTACTTGATGATGTTCCTTTATATGAATTTAGACATTCACAATCAATTATGAAGTACATCGTCATTATTATCAAACAAATATTAAACATTATTATGAATAATTTATTCTCAATTTATTTTTAATCTCAAAGTGTTGGAGCGTTGGGTTGGTTGAGTTATAATCAATTTTTTACGAGCTCAAAAAATGATTTCAAATATCAAATAACTATAACAATTATGAATAATATTTTAAATTGCAATTAATTGTAGAAATGCCAATTAAGTCAACTTTTTATATACAAAAGGCCCAGTAGGTGGTAACATCTACACACCATCTACGGTAGATGATTTTTCACAGGTGTCGTAAAAATTTTAATGCTAGTGTTATTTAATTAAAAAAAAAGAAAAAAGAAAAAAAAAGAAAGAAAGAATCCTTCGCACTCTCCACAAAGGTATATAAAGATGTTTTTGATGTAGTTTCAATAATAACTTCGGCAATACCAGTCGAGTCCTAATCAACACTTTTCATGCTAATTATCCTAAATTTGATACTATCGCACCATCAATATAAACACAGGATACTGAGAATTTTCTTTTTCACTGGTAAGTTTTTAAATAATTGATATTATATAGAATTTTTTTATCAAACTTACATTGAATTACAATTGAAAATAAAAAAAAAATTTGGCAGTTTCACAGATTTCGACTCTCAACATTATCATTTGGAGATCTACATACATCTTTACATACAGTCTAGTATTTTATTTATTTATTAATTATATATATATATATATATATATATATATATATATATATATATATATATATATATATGTTAAAATTAAGATTTTTCAGGAAATAAATATTACAATTAAACATAAAAAAGGATATATTTATTATTAAATAATAACACACGTAACGATGAAATAAATGACTTCATTATTATAAAAGATGATGACGCTAATAAATGAGCTTCTAGGAAGAACAATATTGTAACGATAACCAAACTTCATTATTAGATTAAGGATTTTTAAATTCTGAAAAGAATTCTGTTCCTCTGTTAGCTCCTTAACAATTTGCGGCCAAATACATACTGTGATCATTGCTGCACTCGCTCGCATTGGAAACGATACAATAATGCCGCCTAATGCGAGGCGTTCACATTGTCAGTAAAAATGAAAGAGATGTGATTAAAGTAACGGCATATCCTAGCCGGTCTACGCTTACAAGAAATAACGATCCACGCTCGTGCAAGTGCAAGAGAGAAAGCAGCAATTCAACCTACACTAAATTAAACGAGCGCACACAAGACCAAATGCCCGATACTTTAGGTATTGTCGGTAAATGCCGCAACGCGATCGGCTCTAACTCGAGCTCCACCTAATCGCAGATCGACAACCGATCCGTAGAAAACGGTACACGCCAGCTTTCAGTACGACCCAAGTTCCAGCTTCAGCTCGTCTACTCCTCGAGGGATCGTAAAAACCGCATCGAGGTCGCCGAACGAGGTCGCGACTTTTAGAAGGGAGCTACCAGGGAGAGAAAGAAAAATGACACGCTTTAACCGAGCGCGCGTCTCATCCTCGAAATTTACGATCTATCTCTCTTTTTTCTCTCTCTCCCTCTCTCTCTCTCTCTCTCTCTCTCTCTATATATATATATATATATATATATATATATATATGCCTCGCTCTATCATACAGCATCACTGACTCTAAAACTGACCGTCGATAGGCGCTCGTTAACGCCTCTATCGCTCTCATATTTACGAGCGCTCCGCTTCTTTACAACGTTTACACATTGGGAGTGACTTCGCTCGATTACGCACTTAAGTTTGTTTTCAATTGTACTTAGCGGTATTAATGCAAATAGCACAGAGATCACCGAGACGATGAGTACGAAAGCAAACTTTGCTCAATAATACGTTTCGCGAGGCCGTTTGAAATGCTTTATAATGGTAAAAGATCGTGAGATATAAGCTACATTTAATTGTAATTGATTCACGTATAGTTTATCTACTGGCGACCATTAACGTCACAACAATTATCATCATACTCACTATAAAAATATCTCGTACGATTATAAATATTAAAAAATACTCTCTAAACCTGAAATAAACTATCGCAAAGTCATTATGTTCTTGATAAACAAGTTTCTTTTTGTATCGAGATAGATTTTTATTTCGCTGTTTCTCTTTGAATTTTTTCATTTCCAATGAATTCAGCAGTTTTAACAGATGTGAAAGTATTAACGTTGAACTATTTTTTTCAGATGTAAAATGCGAATATCTTATATTTTATAAGAAATTATCGATATGCTGGATTTGGCATTTTTATTTTACATTCGAGCCATCGCTTTCTCATTTCAATTAATCCCCGACAATTACTCGCCCTTTAATGTGATGAAAGATTTTCACTGTTTTCTTTTCATTTCAATTGGTTAATTTTGCGCTTTTAACACGCTTTACAATGAAATATTAATATATCAATATCAGCAGTTTTTAATTTAATATATGTGAAATTCATTTTGATTTATTTGAATGTAGTTTATTTTAAATATAAAAATTTAGCCAATCAATCAATTTATTTTTCCAAGTCCGGAGTAATCTTGAAAGAAATGTCCTGATTATCGATGCAGCGCATTATCCTCACATACATTAAACTAGTGTTTGTTTTTTTTTTCAACATAAAAGTCAATTTATAAATATTGAATGTATATAAAAAATTAATAAATACTATTGTTATTTGCGTGTAATCGGATATTTAGAGACGTGACAATTGATCGGTGAGAATTAAATTGAAGAAGATTTATATGTACTATCTTCGGCATATAATTAATCACGAGCAAGAAAATTCAGCCATTTAAGGGTAACAAAATTATGTGAAGAAATTGTAACGAATAAGAGCCGAGTTTTTTTTCTTCAATAAAATAAGTTAGCTCTAGCGAGGCTGTCGTAACCCAAAATTGACGTTCCGTGTCGGTCCCTTAAAATAATATCACTTAAATTTACAAACGATTTTGTATCTTATTTAATTATCGAAGGCCATTTTCCAGTAATAACATTTCCTCCATCGCGCATAAATCCATCTGAAAATATAGTTTAAAAATATTTCTGGAGCACGAGGTCAGTGTCGATTAACATACAAAATTTATAAGCGAGTTAATATTTTTGAGCAGCTTCTTCGCCATGGACCACTTGCTATCCGTCGATTTCTCTCGTCTCCCTTGGCTTTTTCGCACCCGCGTTCACCATTCAGTTGCTTTTATGCTTATCTCTCAATATCTGTTTGCACATATAAAGGAGAGACGAGTACTTAATACGGTAGAAGACTGGGCGAGTCAAAAGAATTGAATGAATTCGTAAGATGCGCTCGCCTACTTAAGCGCGCGACATCGCACAGTTGCGCGATATTTCGCTTGTTTGCACTTAACGAGGCATGACGTCATGCTTTCGCCTCCACACAGAATTCCGCTGCACATTTTGTATTGATAATAGGTAGGAATAGATTTATTGCCTATGCTTGTTCAAGTGCTGGCATTAAACTCGATATATTCTAAACGTCTATCTTGTTTATCGCAATGTCGCCTGTATTACAATCTATTACAGTGAATGATTTGTGTCGAAAGATAATTGACGATTTATACAATCGATCAATATAACTCATATTTTGGTAGTAATAACGATTTTATAGGCAAAATATATAATATCAAACGATCGATTCATTTTTAAATGTTTGAAAATTAGTGACTTCTCACTGTTTTGCCTACGAATAAACAAAGTCATTGTAAAAGTTATTCGTCCATACATATTTTTTTAAAACATTGAAAGTAATGAAAATTGATTGTGTTTCTGATAAATTCAGATGCTTCCGATCATGAATATGACTCGAATATGGATATTTGATTTATTGAATTTATATTCTTAGATTGAAGATTTGTATCCGAGTAATTCAAATCTTATAACAGTTATTATAATAAAACTTTAATGTTTATTAAATACAAATTTAGTGCTAGTTACAGCACATCGGTTGTATTGTTAAAAATATTGCTAATTAAAAATGTATCGTAATAAGTAGTAAAAATTTTAAAGATTGGAAAGTATCATTTACTACGTATGTGACAAAAATACATTGTCATATTGTGAAAAAGGTATGCTAATGAAATGAATATTATCGTTGTAAGCAAATTTATATGCGAAATGAAATTTTTGCTCATTCACCCTCATAAACGCAATTTCATCAAATATTTCATATTAAATCGACACGCTTATTTAATAATAAAAAACTAATGCAGCCCAAGTTCCAAATATTAAAACAAAGATGACTAGGAGCATGCGAGCGCGATGCTGCGACGTTAAGCGTATTGCGCAATATAAAAGAAAATTCGCTTCCGCGTTTAAATACTAGCGGAACGCAAAGCGCTCCGCCAATTAAATAGATTGAAAAACACGATCTCCTAATGAATTAATAAGCAAGATACGCGTATCAATCGACGATCGGATCCACAAAAATCCTCACTATCTTCTTACAGATGTTACGATGAAGTGCGCGACAATCGCCGCACTACTTTTCGCGCACACACTTTCTCTTCCCTTTGTCGTGTCTACAAGGTAGGTTTTCAATATTTTTCTATTACGTGTCAAGTGTTAAATGACTATCTACACGATCATTCACATTGCTATGTTGTGCATTTTCAAACTGGTAAGAGTTTATGTTAGAATTTATCGTGAAACGAATTTAATCAAAGTTCGTCCAATTGTTATTGAATATCTATACGTATTTTTAACTCTTCTTTGTTACTTTAATGCTAAAAAATAAAAATGGGGTCATGGGAGACGATATAAGAGTCACAGAGGAATTTCAAGATATGGTGAAAGGTTAAGTATGCGGAATCGATGGATATTTTACATTATAATTCGATACTATAAATTTCTTTGACAATAATTAAATATTGAATCTTCATAAGCGAAAGCATTGAATTTAATTGCATTTTAAAGTTTAAAGTTTAATACAATGCCATGTAATTGCATTATATACTTCATACATTCCGAGCATAACGAATATACTCGACAATTTTGTTATTTTAATTTCGTTAGAAAATAATACCAACTATCTATCGAGAATATTGACTAATATCGTTTTAATTTATCCCCAATTATGACCAATCGATGTATTAATTTTTCTAATCCTAAGCCATACTTGTTATAATATTATTGTTAAAATAATTAATGAATTATTTCGAATATCAGTCGTTTCAAATTATCAAACATAACTGTTAGTTGTAATCATTTTAATAATGTTGTATAGCTCCTTGGAAACACTTGATGAGTATAATCAGACGGCCTGGCCACGGATGGTTCTACCAGAACATTATTTAAAAGGTGTAATAAAATATTTCACGAAATCATTAAATAATCATGTGTCAAGTTATGTAATACAGATTTATTATTATACATGCAATGATATAATTAATATTTCACGAAATCATTAAATAATCATGTGTCAAGTTATGTACAAATTACAAATTATAAAAAATACTAAAATTAAAGAATTCTTTTTTTGCTTATTTGGAAACAGAAATTTATTAGAACAATATTGTCAAAAAATTGTCGAATAAAGTATTTTATGCGATTTAAGAGGTCCAGCTTACATAAATTTTCAATTGTAATAGCGTCATTAGGTTTTCATTCAAAGATTACGTTTAATGTTTTAAATGACGCCAATGAATTGAAATTATTAGTACAAATAATTGTAGATACAAGTTTCCGATTAAATTGTCGCCTTAAATTTTCCATTACAGAGATAAGACCACCGACTAAAGGAAAAACTGCATTAGTTGTGTATTTCAACATATTCGTTGTTGATATAAATTCAATTAACGTTGAAGACATGGATTTTCGGTAAACTAATCAATTTACCTCAATGTTATGGAATTAAAAAAAATATCACATGCTTTTACGGAGTGAAAATATTTTTACACTACATTTTTTGTATAAAGTATAAAATTATTTTTAGAGTCGATATGTTTATTTATCAAACATGGACAGAATCTCGTTTGAGGTTGCCTCTTGATATTTTTGAAGACGACGAGGATTATGTTACTCTACCTCCGGAATTTTTCGATAACCTATGGCAGCCTGATCCATATTTTTTAAATTCCAAAGTTTCCGGTATGTCATTGAAAATACTTCAACTATAATTTTTCGGAAGTAGATGATAGTGTCGATAAAAGCAATATTTGATTGATTAAAAATCAACTTTCTAATGTCCTATAAACGATTAGTTTAGTAAGCAGGATGATAAAAGTAGAAACGAATATTTTTAGAAAATAAAACGAGTTTCTATAAATTTTCACAAATCATTTTTTTTACATGATTCAAAAAAATTTTCTCTATTAATCATTACACCAAAATGCCTCTTCCTAAGCAATTCGCTTTAAATTATTGATAATAAATTAAATAATTTATATATCTGCCAAAGTCTATTAGAATTTTAATACTAAACTAATTTTCAGAGATTGCGACTCTAAACAGCAAACATTCATCGGTGACGTTATACAGAAATAAAACCGTTCGTTATGCCGCACGAATGCATGCAATTATTGCTTGCCAAATGGAATTCCAATTATATCCAATGGACATTCAAGTTTGTCCCATGAATATTGAAAGCTGTAAGTTGTCAATGTCAAGCTAGCGGATCTACGTAATTCCAAGTTTTATTTATTTTTTTCAAACAAATATTCGTTTCTTACCATATTATGGGGGATTATTTATGTTAATCGGCAATTCACTAAAATCCCATATCGAGAGGACAAAGTAAATTTGCCCGCCAACTTACATTGCGAAGGATAAAACAATGGATTTCAATGAATTAGAAGCATGGTTAGATTAATTGTAACATTATGAATTTTAATTTCAAGTTAACTAAGAGCACGTAACGAAGAAGCGTATTAATAAACATGGACAAATTTTTAATAAAGAAAGGAAAGAAAAATGTGTATAATGATAAAGTAAAGTAAAAATGCTCATCGATGAAATATGCGTAAAAAAAAACATGTATAGTAAAAGAGCTCGACGTGTCGGGAAGAATGAATTTCAAGGTTGCGATGTTTCATCCAACCTGTTACAACGCTCGGTCCAGACTTCGGAGTAGCATGTCGCGAGAAAGGCTTTTAACGGTATAGCAGATACTGAACGAAACCACTTTTACATTCGAGTGTCCCGGCGACGACTTTGGCCCAATTTTTCGTCGAGAATGAAAGAATAATGAGCGAGAGAGAAAAGAAGAGGAAAGGCGTTTGCCGTTACGTGCCGCTCTTACGTGTACGATGTACGATTGTGCGTATTAGTGAAGTGCGAAGGGAAAGAAATATTTGATTTAAACTAACGGTTTACTATCGAGAATACATGAGCCGTTTCCATTTCCATTAGGATGAGAATTAGGCGTCGAGTATCTCTCATTTATTATTCAGACAATTTTCGTATACGCTTCATCGTTGATTTATCGCTCAACTAGTTCCAAGAGTTTTCACCTAAATTGTTTCTGATCCGTATATTTATATATACGGATTTATATATATATATATATATATATGATGTACTATTTACATTTTGTTTTTTTTTCAATAATTTCTATCGAACTGTTGCAGATAAATATTGCGCGAGAAAAACTTTATTTATATTTAGCCGAAGCAGTTCTCCGTGTTTATCCAAATCAGCAGCTAAAGGAATGAATATTATTTATTATATAATTAGATGTGTAGTGATTGTTGATAAAACGATTCATTACTTATTAGTAAATGGTTTAAATGTCATTCATTTATATTAGCAAAGTAAGTGAAAATACGATTTTAATTCATTAATATTGGTATAGTTTCCTTTCTGCATATTTATCAATTTACCCATTTATTTTATAAAATTGTTTGACAAAACTATCGTTTAAAAACAGTCTACATTAATATAATTTTATTCTTCTTCAACATTTATCTTATAACGATAGTTTCGATGCTGTTCAATATACGCTTTTAAAATTCATATACAATTGTTGCTTTCTTAATTTTTTTTTTTTTTTTTTTTTTTTATATTATTATTTATTAACTACGGTACTGCTTAATATAATATTTACCGACAGACAATTATTTATAAATTAACGAACATGTAGATTCGCAATTAATTAATTTTAATAATCAAGCATTAGTAATGACAATGATGATGATGATGATGATGATGATGATGATGATGATGATGATGATGATGAAAAGCTAATAATATCTTGTTCGATATATTCACAATTTCAGTTTCTTATGACAGTGAAAAATTGAGTTTCCGGTGGGGAGACGAAGGTGTTACCGTAAATCCAGAACTAAAGTTATTGCAATACAATTTGGAAAATCCGCTCAGAGTCGATGAATCTGTCTGTTTCATCGATGAAAAAAACGGTATGATGAATTTTTTCTGTGAAAGACATTGATTAAGCTATCTTATCTCATATCGTATTATTAAATTAAATTCCGTTATTGGCCATTTGAATTTCTTAAGAGTATAATTAATTATGAGAATTAAATAATTTACTTTTAAAAGAAACTTCCTATATGGTAGAAATATCAATGCTATTCTCTTCGCCAGTGCTACATTTCCCAATCGAAATCATTCGTAAAAAGTAATCCAAATATAAAATTAGTTTAATTAGCCGTGCCGCTGCTCGGCAAGTGTTTCATTGGAAATTCTTTCCGACCTCCATAAAATCGATAAGTTATTCGATGATTAATCAGCCATAAAAGGGCCACTGTAAAGAGTAGGCGTGCAGTCGAAAGCTCGCGATCACAGCGATTAAAAAAAAGGATACATATAACCGAGGGCAGCTGGTATTGATAAAGGATACGTCTAATGATGGATTTATGTCATCGCCGACAGGAAATTTCTCTCGGCTCTTCGTCTACTTCCAATTTGAGCGTCAGATCGGCCACCATCTCATCCAGACGTTCGCCCCATCGACCCTCGTAGTGATGCTCTCGTGGTTCAGCTTTTGGCTGGGGCTCGACGCGATTCCGGGCCGTGTCGCCCTCCTCGTCACCAGTATGCTCACACTCGTCACGATGTTCACCGGCCTCAAGAGTGACATTCCACCGGTCGCCTACGTGAAAGTAAGTCCCCCTGAACAATTACGATCGCCCGACTGACTCTCTTCTATTTTCCACGCTAATCCGCACTGGCCGTGACATTCAGCCAACGTTTAATCTCTTTTTATCGATTTTGCGCATAAAGAATAACCGTGCCTCGTGCATTTGGTCTGCCTCTAATGCAATATGAGTTTGTAAATGCAGGAAATGTGACGCACTTACATGTAATGTTGACTGCTTATGAATGAAATCTATTGCAAGTTGGCATCCATTTAATAAATCACGTCTTTTATTAAAAAAAAAATTTATATATATATATATATATACATACAATTATTTTGTTACTGCGAATCGATCTGGAAAATTTTCCATTAAAAATAACGAAATAATCCGTTAAATATTAATCGCTTCTCTGACATCATTTGGATTATTGGCATTAAACAGTGATATTTAATTAGAATTAAAGAATGGTATTATTTTTAATAATTATATTTATTCGTAAAATTCCTTAGAATGCAAAGGAATTAACAAGAATTTATGAAACTTTTCGTCAACTTAATTTCATTTCAACTTAATCGAGCGTATATACGAACAAAGAGTGAGTTGAAAAATCATAGAAATTTTATAGTATAGAAAGTCAATTTGAATTTTCTATACGAGTTTATTCAGAAAAATAATTTATATAATACGTTAGGGATTCTTCTGCAATACAAACATTAAAAATTTATGTCAGTTATCCAGGCGTCGATATTTTAAACATAATTCTTTCAACCAAATAAAATGTCGAGTAGGTTATTTTGGAAACACGCACTTTATGTGACCTTGATTTTATACTGCCTAATAATTGTTTTTTAATATTGCCAATTACATTTGTTATCGATGACCCGAAAACAATTTATACATTTTATAAATAACACATTCATTTCTTAATTTCACAATACCTGGCACAGATAATACAACATTTGTTTAATAGTGTTTTCTTTTACTCGATGCATATTCTCATTCAATATAATATTATAATGTAAAAAGTTAATAATAATTATTTGACTTATAATGATTTTGATAAATTAATATATATAAAAAAAAACGATATTTGACATGATATTTGTGAAAATTAGTTAATGTTTGCCAAATGTTGCATTGAGATATCAAGAATTTCAAAACATTTTTAAATACATGGAACAAAAAGGCATATTTGTAAATATCAAAGTAACGTTCAATAGTACGAAAAATTTAAAAAATTATATAAAAACAATTTTAACAATTTGTCTATAACTATATATAGAATAAACGTTAAAACATTGAACCACTGTTTTCTTGATTACAATTGTGCGCGTATCTTCATAGCTTTCACGTAAATTAAATAGGGGAAAGTTTATATACACTTTCAAATAATATATTGTACATACCCTTCGGCATGTTATTTTATATTTGAAATTTCATGCAATATTAAATGATTTACTAAATAGCTTAACTGTATAAAGTAACTTTCACATTTGGTACTATCCTGTATTGCTTAAAACACATTTTATTCGTCTTGTGATAATTCATGGAATAGTTCAAACATAATAAGTAAATAAACCTATTATAATTAATACAAACATTATAAAAACAGAAAATTTGTTGTAAACATTTTAAATACATAATAAAACTATTGAATAAAGTATTCGTTATTACGTTCAAATTCATTAAGCATTCGTATTAATACTACATTTTAAGATAAAAGGTTCGGTTTTTTAGATACAAACATATTATGCAATTTTAGTTACAATTTTAATTTACCGCTTAAGTCATTAATTACTGACATTTCCTCTACAAGCTTGCATTTGTCAAAGTCAATTGTGCATAAATATCTATGTAATATGTAATTATAATCTGAAAACACATATATCTACATTTACATATAGATGACTCCGATAATATATAATATAAAAGTTGCGTTTGAAATGTAATTATCTTAAGAAGATCATAATTTTTAAATTATAAAAAGTAGCACTACTCGCATTTGTGATGAAATACAAAAAAAAAGGCCATAAAAATTAGTTCACAGTTTAAAAATTCAAAAATTTATTAGAATATGAATTTTTAAACATTTGCAAAAAATTACATTTTAATCATGATATGCACTTTATTAGAGATTATAAAGAATATGGCGTGCAATTAAATTCTTTCAGTTAATTTATTTATTTATATTTTCGGTTAACTTATGAATTGTTTTTACAAGTTATGAACTGGAAGGTAATGAGTAACATTATTATCAATCTTTTTAAATGCATTCAGTTGTGTCAGATTATTGTTAAGTGACGAGAACAAATTAATAATTTTAAAATAAGAAATGAAGTAAGTGATCCATGAGATGGAAAGCTTAAGAAAGATACGGCACATTTCGATTGGAAGCTCGGCGTGTTATTCGTAAAAAGACCTATGTCCTTTAAAACAATCTATTAAAATATATTAAATTAAAATGAGAATACAAGCAATATTAATGTCATACTTCGATTTTTAAATAAATTCAGTGCCTGAAAAATGTATTGAAAAAAAAATTACCATGGTAAACGATTAATTAAAATTTTTTATACATATTATGAGAATTAAAAGTGTATCCTTATAAAACTTGTTCTTTTATCATAGAAACATAGTCGATAACATTAAAAGGCTAAAACACATATACTTACAGCGTATTATAAGCAACGAGAAAAACAACAAAACTTCCATAATAGCTCTTCAATCATTATTTTAAGCAATGCTGATTATACGTTTTTTTACTTAATTTTTGCAAAAACTTCGCAAATATCATCTAACATGTCTATGCTTTATTGTGTAGTAGTTTTATGAAACTCAACGACCTGCTTTCTGAATTCTCCTAGCTTGTGTAAGCGACTGGAAATCGCTTGTTGAGTGACTTCAAGTTGCTGAGCAAGCTCGCGTTATATGTGGAAGGCATTTCTTCAAAAGCTGTTCCAATTCCATGTCTTCAATATGCTTTTTAGCTTTCGTGATCTTTTATTTTGGACAAATCAAAATTATTAATGAGAAATGTTGGGTGTAATTTCCCGGTGTGCTGGAAAATGGCATTCGCGCACTCAAAATTACATAGACACAACATTACCGTTTTTACAATATATAATATATTTTATATACGCTCTATCATAGTTTGTATTTGAGCAATGAGATTTCCAAAGATTGATTACGAGGATTACAATTTTATATACTTCACGTCCAATTTAAATAAGTAATGAAAAATTACATACAGTATAGTGTCAGAGAATATAATGAGATAATATGAAAATATAACATTGAATAAATGTCAAAAAGAAATTTAAATCTTCTTCAAAAATTATTATTTTGATATTTTCATATAATTTCTTAAAAAAAAAAAAAAAAAAAAAAAACTTGATTTATATTCAATTTAATTACAAAGGTTTTTGCAATTAATAAAATATTCAAATAGATTTTTGCATATCGATTACTAAGCTTATAAAAAAATCCATATATTGATGTAATAAATTATTTAATAATATAAAAAGTAGTATGTAGAAGGCAACATAACTGTTCTTATTTAGGATAAAAAAAATCACTTGATAATATAATGTAGTGATATGTAGATGCTAATATATCTATTCTCATAGTATTAGAAAGGGGCTGATTATATATAAAAAATGGTTTCAAATTCTCAAAATTATATTTAGGCATAATTGTAAAAAAAAAGCAGAAAAAAAAACAATAATACACATTAAACATAGAATTTCAAATATTTTATAATTACTAAATTTATGTTTAGGCTTTAGACCTATGGATGGCAGGTTGCATGTTTTTTGTATTTTCGGCATTGGGTGAATTCGTTGTTGTCAAAGTACTTGAGCTTGATTATCAAAGAGAGTGTGAAGCTTCAAATGCATACCGGCGCTTTCCAGCTGTAAGTATTTTTTATTATACAAATTTAATAAATGAAAAATGTAGTTTGACAATAATACCGCATATAAAATTATTTGCAGCGATTGTCTATTGTCGAGAAAAATACGTCTGTATGGGATTATGACTCTGTATATATGCCAAAAACACGAAACATTCGAGCTGGAAGTCGCAATCTTTTACAAAATTCATTATTAGATCCGGAGATCCTTATACAAAGACCACCGCATCGAGCAAAGCAGATTGATACGCATAGTCGAATTGTCTTTCCAGTTCTATTTTTAGTATTTTGTTTGTTTTATTGGCCAATTTTATTATTAAAAAAGGCTTAAAACTATCAAACCATTGAAATTAAATAGCAAGACCTTATTCAATGTTGATCTACATATTATCAAATAGATATATCAATGGTGTTTTAAAAATCATTTTAAGAACAATATTTTGACTTATTCAATTTATTACTCTTGTTCTTTAAAATACTATTGATTTATTTATATAATATTCCATGCAATAAAAGTTCATTGGATTACTGATATCCAGTATAACCGTATTTCATAAAAAAAAACAATGTAAATTTTTCATTCTGTACAGTCGACATATCAGGTCTCGCATTAAATGTCCACATTATTTCGCTATTTTTAAACAATGTGATAACGTGTTGATCTTAGCATTAAATAACATTTTAATTTGTTTGTATTAAAATTAATGTAAATTACATAATTGTATTATTATTTATTTAGTTATGTGAGATTTATATTTAATGCCATGTTTTATAACAAATTAAATTCAAATACAAAGTTTTGTAATACTAGAACTGAGTAAACAATGATATTCTTAAATCATTTTGATTGAGTTGTAGCATTATAATTTAAAATAGAATATATATATATATATATATATATATATATATATAGAGAGAGAGAGAGAGAGAGAGAGAGAGAGAAAAATATTTCCTTTTAAAAACTTCTCCCTCAATCTTCTTTAAACATATTATAGCAAAAATTATAATTTTGATAACATATTTCGATCGATCGGTAGAAAAATTAAAATATAATATACAATAATTAATTGTTAGAAAAGTCTGTACAGTACTATTTCACAAAATATAATTATATATTGAAATAAAGATTTTTATTCGGCTTCCATATTCTCTTCATCGACTTCGTTATCACTGGTAACATCTTCTTCGATCTCTTTAACTTTTTGTTTCCCTTTTATTTGGCTCAATTGTTTTAAATAGCCTATGGTGTATTGATTAAAATCGCATCTGAAAATAAAATTTTAATATTAAATAATAAACTTATCAAAATAGAATTCAAGTACGAGCTTTTTGTAAATATACAACTATAATAGTTGTGCATAGAGATAAACGGTTATATTAAAAATATTTTTAAAAATTTCCTATACAAACATGAAAATGCTATCAAAGATGTTTTATAGAAAATTATTTAGAATTAATATATTCCTTACGTAAGAATGTTTTAAATAAATCTGTAATTGCTTACTAACATTTTACTTAGATCATCATATTTCTTTAACATATTTTTTTGCAGTAATATGAGGGTAGGTAAATGTAATATTGCATTTCCTTTTGGCCCATGCTCAGTTAAAACTGCCTCAATCCATAATAAATAAAAATGTATGTGACGTGATTCTTCTATTTCGTTGGCTATAAATTTCAACAATCTCTCTACATAAGCCCTTGGTATACTTGCCGCGGTTAATTCAACTATAACAAAAAATAATTATTAAGCAATTGCTAATGTTATTCTCTAGAATTTAATTAATTTCAATGAATAAATCAGCTAAATATGCTAATTTAGTATATGAAATTCATTATATGAATTATTACTTAAATTAAAAAAATGTAATGTATATATGCCAATGTTTTAAGCATAATAAAAAAAATTTAATCTAATATTACAAACACAATCATTTCAAATTGTTGACAACTACAGTATTTTATATTCGCCCTAATAACAAATTTTTACCAATCGTTTGCCTTCCGGTTAATACTATATCTTACTTACTATCAGAATAAGGAATGTCTTCTATAACTTCACGTATCAATACTACTACATTGAGCTTAAGAGCCATTATAATAGCTAAAAAATAATGTATTATTAATATCTTTTTAAAAATGACAATTTTTTTATTATCATTAGAATATATACCTGTCGAAAACTCCCCCTTTGCTAAAGTTTCCTTTACAGTCATTGGAGTTATTCCTATTTCGAGTTCAAATGGATCAAAAACTAATTCAACGTTTAATGAGTAAATTAATAAACCTTCGGTCGTAGCTGCAGCCCATGCTTGACCTACAAGAAAGCAACAAAGAAAATAAGCTTTAAATTTTAAATATATGTATCTAATAATAAAATAAAATGTCTATCGGTATATCAGCTATGCTTTTGGACTAAAATTTGAATATATGAAAACAAATGAATTTTTGTAAATTACCTGTTGGGGAAAATTGCAAACTAAATATTCGAATTTCAGGCTTCGAATTTCTGGCTGCCATATCGCCTTGTCTAACTCCCGGTAAACGTATCGTTACATTTCCACCTTCGTTTTCTTCCCGCTCTTCTACCAGAGCTAGATTACCAAATTCTGTCAGTTTCCTTCTATTAATAAAATCCTTTAAAACAAAACAAAACAAAAAAAGAAACACAGTTTATATGGTAAATTTAACTTAATTATAATAATGAATTTTAAGTTAGATTCTTACGTCAACTGCGTCTAAGGAACGATTCTGAGTAATTTCAAATTTTTTTAATAAAATAGATTCTTTAACACTATAAATACAAACGTATTTTGATTGGCCTCCGGCTAATATACAATTTCCATCGGCCGTAAATGATAACGACGTAAATGCTCTGAAATTAAACAAAAGTAACAAATATGATAATGATAATCGTAGAAAATTTTTAAACAAAGACACATGAATATTCGATCATATATATGTTTACACGATAAACTTTATAAATCGTAGTCTATGAAAGGAAAATTAATAAAGCAAATTATGTAATGTTGTTTTTCGTAAACATAAAATCCATCGATTGAAAAATAAACTATAAACTTATCGATTGAACAATTCGTTATACGAAAGTATTTCACGTGTACAATTAACCAATTTATTACTTATAATTTACATCATTTTTATACCAAGACTTTTATATCATTTAAATCAAGTTTAGTTAACTCAAAATCGATAAGAATGAAATATTTTATCATTTTTAATAGACTCTGCAAAATAAACATAAGAATAAATTATAAGTGAAACATAAAAATATTCTGATTTTTATTCGATAATTTTCATTTTTAATTATATCAGAGTAGAGCTCAAGGTGACAAGATATTTTTTTTTTTAATTTACATTGCAATGAATGATAAAAATATATAGGATAATTAATCCTAAAATCAAAAAGATAAAACGTAAAAGAAAAAAAATATCATTGTAAATAGAAATAAATTATTACTTTTTGCAATTTTTACTAATTGTAAATAAATTCCTTACTTTCCCTCTAAACTTTTCTTAGCAGTTATCAAATCGGTGTCGGATCTCCCACTACCTAAGTCATTTCTTCCTTCTATTGTGTTTAACTGTGTTCCAGTCTTACAATCGAAAAACGAAATTTGACCATCCAGAGTTGCAACAGCAATTTCCGTACCATTTGGTTTGTATGTAACATACAAACCATCGGATATCAACTGTATTGTTTCATGATTGGAACCATTTTCAATTGCATTCCAAATTTTTAATGTCTTATCCCATGAAACCGACACTAATTCTGTACTTGCAGGATTTGGATTAAATGCCACACTCATAACTGGCCCTTCGTGTCCACTTAAAATCTTAAGAAAACATAAAATCAGCTAATATGCAATACGAATTGCAATGAATAGTCAAACAATGGATTCAGAACTGTAATATTCAATTGCTTTAACAATATAAATTGAAGCACAAATTGAGCCAACATTGATGGTATAGGGTGAGAATTTATTAATGTTTTATGTACTCGGAATCAACAAATATTTCATGCTAATTACCTCTAATAATGTTCCTAATTTTATACTCCACAAATATATTTCGAAAACGTCTTGCCCGCCAGCAACGACAAATTCATCGCTCGAATCCAAGGCGACGCAAGAAAATTGAACAGGTCTTGGAGAAGTAAAAGTTTTAAAATTTCGGTATCTCATTAAATCGTAGGCTCGGACAGTACCATCAAGCGATGCTGATAAAATGAATTTACGATTTGTACTGAATAGAACTCCAGAAATAGAGGATGTGTGATCGTGAAAGGTAACGGAGCAAAATCCACTAGACGTGCTCCATAACTTCAATTTTCCATCAGTACCACCGGTTACAATTAATTGTCCATCTGGACTATAAGCGATGCAGTTCATATTGCTGCTATGACCTTGCTGTTTCATGGCATAAGTCTCACTCTGCCATTCCCAAACTAATAACTGACCCAAATCTGCACTTCCTAGTGCAATCCAATCACCAGAAGTATTTAAAGCAATAGAAGAAATTCGTTGACTGGACATGCTAAAAATTAAAAATTTAAATGTTAAATAAGTGCAATTCACGTCATGAAATATTAATTATATGATATTCATAGGAACATATGGATTTAACATTCTTTACTCCTAAACCTGCCTTAATAGTAATTATATTAATTAAAATTGCTAATTTCATACTTATTGTATTTTATTATAAACATTTTATTAAGCATCGGGTTTTTTTTTTTAGGAAATGTAATATGTGAGATATGTAATGAATATTTGATATTATCAATATTGTGAAATATACAATATTATTGATTTTCAATTACAATACCTTAATGAATGAATCATATTAACTTCAGGCATTTCGTACAAAAAGAAAGCTCCATTATTAAATCCAACTACTAAAATATGAGTATCCTGATGATAAGCTGCTGCCGTTAAAACTGCATTCCTGTCACTTTTGTGCACTTCATCCGCTAAATAATACTTCCCCAATCTTTTGTACATTAATTTTTTAACGTCTTTGTTATCTATTTTGTCTTTACTCCTCGTTGTTCTCACTTCATCATTATCCATATTGTTGGCATTATCGATTAATGTTTTCTCACTTATCCTCTTTTCTTTTTCCGTCTTTTCTAAGGCCTTGTCCAAGTCTACATCATCTTCGCTATCACTGTCCTTAAGCTTAAGCTTTTTTAATGGTGGCTGGTACAAAACAAGATCGCTAGGCTCTATTGTACATTCCCATATGCAAAAATGTCCATTCCTTTCAAAATAATGAATTATATAAATGTATTAATAACAAACATAATGTCTCTAAAACGTTTGCACTAAGTGAATCGATGCGATTCAATACAATTATTGAAACAGATTTGTTTTCGACTCATTTTAATGTATCTAGGTTACCAGTATTTTAGTTACCTGCTAATGGTTAAAATATCATAGTTTTTCTTTTCAAAATAACATCCTACGATAGCGTCGGAATGACTTCCAAGAATATATTTCTTAAAGTTCATCCATTTCTCGAGGCTGTATAGTCTTGTCGACTTATCCTTTGATCCAACAATAAGTAGCTTGGAATCAAACGACCATTGAATACAAGATACATCATCAACGGCATCGTGAAATACCTTAACCATGACAAACGGATTATACTCTCCTGTCAATAATCCAGGCGCCGTAAAAATAAAAACTAAAAATTCACTAGGATCATTAGGATGCTTTCAATAATTATCGTGTAAAATAAGCAAGCTATGCGTCTCTTAACGTTACCAGTGTTTTCTTTACAAACTGCAAAGTGCTTGCCATCTGGAGAAAACTTGATGCACTGCACTTTTCTCTTAAATCTATGTTTATGAATGATCATTTTACTAATCATACTGATTACATGTGCTTCACCCTCTAAAAATATTGATGTAAAAAAATATAATTATCACAAAGATACAAGGTTTACTTTTTAAAGAAATAAATTATAAATACATTGCAATACCTTCGTTAATAGCGATCAGTATATATCCATTTGGAGATAAATCCAGGGCATTGTAATTAAATCTACTTTCAATGGGTAAAGTTAACGACTTGTTGCTAAAAGAGAAGAAAAAAAAAAGAAAACAAAAAGAAAACAATGACAAATGAAAGAGGATAATTATTCGGTATAATGCACAAAGTTAATGGGCATGATTAAAAAATAAAAATTCAATGCTTACTTTTTTAAATCATATATGGTAATTCTATTTCCTACTGGACTTATAACGGACATGCCATCATTGGTAAATAGCAGATTACCCTTGTAATACACCGAGCCCAATAAATTGCTAAACTGTAAGAAGTAAACAATTTTAGGAGCATTACCAATGAAAACGGGAAGGAAAAGATAGCCGCGACATAATTCTTAAATAAACATTGTCAAATATTTCATTTATCCTTGTTGTTCAATAAAGTTTGATACAATTTTGAATAAAAAAAGGAAAATTTAACCATTGACTATCGATAAAATTTTCTGTAATAAGGATTGATGTAGCAGGCAGTACTCTCCTATAATGCCAATTATATTAACCAACGGAGCTCGATAATAACATCGAATGGGGGTAAAATTTAATAAAATAAATAAACAAATAAATGGACGTGCACTTGTAGGTTAAGCCAATATAACGTGGAATAAAATAAAAATTTTCATTCCCATATGATTTTGAGAAAAAATTTAAGAAGAAGAATCTCCATTACCTTATAGGCAAACTTCATTTTCGTACAATCGCTGTGACTACAATATTCAAAATAAATAGAGGTATTATTTAATAATCGAGGCCACGGCTCTCATCTTTAACCACGTTTCGACATTTAAATGACACGACTACGCAACATCCGGTGGCACTTGAATTTCGCGCTCCCCCTGAAACCTGTAGGATTGCGAGGAGCCATTGCATTCTCGGTCTGCGAACGGTGCAAAAAAAAACAAAAAAAAAAACAAAAAAAAACAAAAAAAGAATACACATACATGCATGGAAAACAATGAGGAATTGCAAATTAAGGGTAGAGGAAAGAGGCAATAAGTACGCGACGACGGAGAGTCGATGAAGATTCGAGTACTATCGTAAGATCGTGTTGATGGCGATCGACATGAATAAGACGAGGCATCGAGTCCCGCAAAACCTTATAATCGCCATTGACTGACAATGAAGAGAGTCTGTCTACCTGGCGTTAGGCAGACGGCCTCGGATAATAACAACGCCATCACCATAAAGCGTGACATTGAAGCGACAGAAGGTTCGCGATGAGCAATAACAAGCGTCTCATGCTCGTCACGCGAATAGCTAGGCCTCGACTTTCGGCCGACTAAAGTAGTCGTCGTTACCGCCCGCCCCGGACGTCATGTGCTCGCGGTGCCTCGGATACGAGCTCCGACGACGAGTCTTGTGGATGCGCGCGGCATCGGGAACAGCCGGCTTGCCCGGACTAAGCAGGTATCGAGGGCGAGCTTCGAATACTGGCTCTGTCATCCCGGTCCTGTCACCGGAGGGCCGGAGGCTCAGTATCTCAGGGGCGGCCGGCACCACGAGGAGTAGTCACGCGCTCCGCGTAACTCGGTCTTCGTCTCGGGCGCCTCATTGGCGGAGCGACCTCGGTGAGCCTGGGGGCCGACCAATCGCGAGAGTCTCGGGACCGTCGCTCGGCCCGTTTCCGGCTCACTCGCCCGTCACATGACGAAGTGCCAAAGTCGCGCTAGGGTAGGCCATATTTGACTCAGCGCGCACTGGGCCACGAGATAGCCGACGTCGCCGACACCGCCGTCTAGCGCCAGTCAGGACGAGTCTGCACCAGCGATCGACTCGTAGTGGAGGGGGCACCGAGACGACGAGACGTGACTGTGAACTAGAGGGGGTGTGAGCGGGCACGCGCAAACGAAAACGAATGGAACACGAAGAGAGAGAGAGAGAGAGAGAGAGAGAGAGAGAGAGAGAGAGAGAGAGTGAGTGAGTGAGTGAGTGAAAAGAGGCGAGAGGGCATCGAGTAAGCTGGCAGTCAGCAGAGCCTCTGTTTTGCGCGACTCATCGTACTTGGTGGACTCGTTGCTTGGACAGCCCAAGTCTTCCTCGGCACTTCCGTAGCTGCGACGACCAGTGACGCCCGCGAGGAGCACACGCAAACAACGATAACAGCATCGATAGTGGCAGCAGTAGCAACAGCAACAGCAACAGCAACAGTATCGAGGAGGCTTTAGCCACAGAGGGAAAGAAAGAAAGCGAAAGCGAGAGCGGAGGACGAACGAACACAAGATGAGCGGAGTGAACGAGCCGTTGCCCGATGGCAACCCGATTTATGGGCCGTTCTTCGGCGTGATGGGGGCCGCATCGGCCATCATATTCTCCGGTAAGTAGTCGTAGCGCTCGGTCCCGTGACTCGGGTGAGCGCGCGCTCGCGCCTTCCGTGGGCGTCGACCGAGGGCAGCTTCGGCCGCTTTTAGCCGAGCACGACGCATATAGAGTGGAGCAGAGCGAACTAGCGGCCCCGTCGTCGCCCCTCGCGCTTCCTCCCCATTCTTCTTCTCATCCTCATCCTCATCCTCATCCTCCTCGTCATCATCATTATCATTATCATTATCATTATTATTATCATCATCACCATCATTATCATCATTATCATCATCTCCATCATTATCACCATCATTATCATCATCATTATCATCATCATCATCATCATCATCATCATCATCCTCATCCGTTAACGCCATTTTTCCATCTGGCGTAGGTAAGCGAAAAACGTCCGCGATCAATGGAGCGGCGCCTGGCCGGTTTACGATCCACGACGTCGACCTCTCCTCCGAAGCATACTTGCCTCCCCACGTTCGTGCGCGGTGACCACGCAAGGGGAAGCGACACCTCGGTCGTCTGTGCCGACTGAGCATGGCTCACGACGGTCTCGTGACCGAGGCTTCGTACGATAGCAAATACCTAGAGGGTGAGAGCCGTTTGCACGAGGGGGTTACGGGAGGGAAAGGGGTAATCGGCTGATGGGTGGTTGGGGGGGGGGAGGGTAGAAGGAAAAGAAGGCGCCGTCGAGTTGTTCGTATAGTGAGAGGGATTCGAAGCGGGTACTATTCGTCGTGTAAACGGCATCCGTTATACATCGTGGCCGTTGGCCTTGGCATGCGAGCAACGCAAAGAGCAACGAAGAGCCATCGCGAAAAGTCGTCGTGGCGATGTCGACTTTGGCCTGGCCTCGTCCGTCGCTTTCGGTGCCCGTTTCATCGCCCCCCGTCACCCCGGTCCCCCGTTCATCATTCACCGGGATAGAAGACGTAGTCGCATATAATCGGGACCGGGGGCTCCTTCCACCCCGTGAGAGTGGGAGAGGAGGGGAACCGGTGGGGACAACGCACGGCTTCGACATATCGACGTCGTCTTGGTCGTCTTGGTCGCCTAGCGGTAGGAAGGTGGAGGTGGAGGTGGCGTTAACGGCGTCAACGGCTACGAGGCGCGCGCCTCGTGCACTTTTTCCACCTCTCGCTACTATTCCCTCGCGGCGCCCTCTCGCGCTCTCGGCTTGCGCCTGTCTGCGTTCGTGTGCGCGCGCCCAAACATCCATCCGTGTGTCCTTTTCGGGAAAATCAATACGAATAGTCCGTTTCCCGCGGGCAGCCGCTGTTCGAATCAATGGAACGGAGTTATGGCAAGGAAGCCGGTACTCTCGCGGCGAGTCGTCCTCGTCTCGTCAGCTGGACAATCGCGGTCCCGACTTTGTCCCCATCCCCAGCTCCGTCCCGAGATTCATAGATAGCTATACAGATAGAGATAGAGAGAGAGAGAGAGAGAGAGAGAGAAATAAAGAGGAAGAGATAGATAGATAGAGAGTCAACGAGAGTAAAAGATAGTCAGAGAGAGAGAGAGAGAGAGAGAGAGAGAGAGAGAGAGACAGCTGGGGCACGGACGTGAGAAACCTGCTAAAATTGTTCTTACGTCGTTATTGACTTTTCCAATGCTGCTATTGCGGGCCAACAGACTTCTTCTTACTCGTCCCGTTTTCAGCTCCGCCGCTCATTTATACAATGAAATACGGTCGAGCAAACATTACTCACTCTCGAATCGAGAGCAGCAGCAGCGACGGCGACGGCAGCGTCGTGCTCGTGGTCCTTCTCGTGCTCGTGGTCGCTGTCGTTGTCGTGCTCGTCGACAGCAGCCCGACGTCTAAATCCGTTTATAATGTTAAAAGGACGTTGACAGTCAATTTTATCAAATAAACTCGGGCATCCGTCGTCGGGCCTATATTAGATTATATTTGCCAAGCATTTTGGAACGAGTAGCTCACGATGTTATCGCCTTCTTCATCGATTTCGTTATTCAACGACGTGGCGGCGACGTTTCTCGTTGCAACGGTGCATCCTCCTCGTCTCTTTATCCCCCCCCCCCACAATACTTTGAGCGCTCGTTTAAAGCGGCGCTAAATGTCGCGACTTGCCGTCTCGGTATCTCCTTGGCCGTTTGCTTTCTCGCTCGCACCGACGTCACTTTAACGCGACAATTCGAGACAACGAATACGCCGCAATGCCAGCACGCTGGTGGAGCAGAAATTTTTAACCTTTTTCGTTTGCTAGACGAATCGTTATTTTCAGGCTCTCTTGGCTGCTACGTACCTACGCGTCGAGTGAGAGTGAAGTTTGTTTTGGGCGGGCGGGCGGGAAAGATTACGAAAGAGCGAGACTTGGACGGCGGTGTCGTTGATAGGAATCCGATAATTCCGTCGTGGCGCAACGATGTCACCGATATTAATTGCTCGGGCTTCCTTGGCTGTGTCGTCGACGGCCCTTATTGTAGCCCGACCACACTTATAAGGAGCAAACGTGCGTGTAATGTGCAACGGTCCCCGCCCGGTAAATGTACTAAATGCCTCGTCGTGTTGTTTACTAAAAATACTGAATGACCATCCGTAACGTCGAACGTGCCAATCAACGACGAGCGAAGAGTTTCGCGAATACGATGACGAGGAAGTGGAGAAAGAGAGAGTCGAATTCGCGAAATCGTGAGACGCGCGCGATATTTTGATAGCAGGCCAAATGGGCCAGCCGACACTTTCCGTCTCGCTTTCCTATTTTCCCTCGTCGGACTTCTCGGCGGCCGACGTATGCAGCGACGCATCGCCAGCCAAATTTTCCGAGGTCGAACGCACCCTATCCTACTTCACGCTTTCTCCACTTCCGTCCTACCTCTCCTCGTTCTATCTCTCTTCGACTCTCGTTACTATTCTCTTCTTGTCGTCGTCGTCGTCGTCGTCGTCGTCGTCGTCGTCGTCGTCGTCGCCGTCGTCATAGTCACAGTGGTCGTTGTATGATCGCGCTTCCTTGTCGTTTATTGGAACTATCGCGACTATCGCTCGCTCGTTTATCTGTCGGCCGAATTTTTACAGACTCGTTTAACGACAAACAAGACAAATAATTGAGAGTTTGAGGTTGGCTCGATGCTGACCGCGAGAAATGGAGTGAATAGTCGCGTGACGAACACTTCCATCGATGCCTATCGTGCCCGGGACGTGACGTACCTACGAAAAAGAGATTAATTAGTCGTGGAAAATCGTCGAACCGATCGAGAAAACGCTGGCGTTAAATTTCCGTTCAACGCTAGATTTCCGTGCAAAAGACACGGTGCGATGCGAGAACCACGCTTCCCTCCCTCGCGGCTCTTCGCGACGGCTGCTGCTGTTGCTGCTGGACTTACGTGATTGTCATGTGACTCGGCGCAACGTGACAAGCATGTGACTACAGGGCGTACGGACGCGCTGCACTTGAAAAAACTCTCTCGTCTCTTTTATATATATATATACGCGGCCCATTTTCCATTCGTCTTTTCATTCGTGCACCTATTTTTCCCGACTCTCCTCAACCCTCTCCTCCCCCCTCCCCGTCTATTATTATTCATTCATTATTTCAATAATTTGATGATCGTTCGAAGGACATTGTCGTGGATGCACGGTCGAGCTCGCAAAGTTACGCACTCGATGGAACTGGTAGAGACGGTCGTTTTTATTTGAAATTAAATCAGACGACGGATCTCCTAACAATTATATCGTACTGATTTTCGCACGAAAATTGGGCGAATTCATAATAATCGATCTTATGAAATGACCGCCAAATATAAAAATAGGGCGTAATATCTCCATTAGACGCTCATTTTGCGAGCCATTAATCTTGTTTTTCTTTTAATTTCATTGTCAAATTGCCATTAAGAGACTCCGGCGATTATTGTTATTCGATACTTTGTAAAGGATCGTGAGCAAAGTAATGGCCACAGCAGAAAGACCGAAGTAACATGAGAGGAACTATTGCATAAAGGCGGAAGTAATTTACTCGCTTACTAGCAGCATGTATTGTAAAATTGATGAAAAAACAATTTGTGAGAGTAATCTGTTTGCATCGACGTATAGTGGAATTTTTTTAAAAGGCTTTATAATACTCTCAAAGTTCACTATTATCGTTCATATAAATTAATGAACGTAAATTTTTTTTTCTTTTTTTTTTTTTTATCGGGCTGGCACTTTAGATTGCAATGGGTTACTCTGCGCAAAATCACTTAATATCCGACGAATTTAAAAATCATACGTAAAATTGCTAATGATGCTTTGAAACATTTTAAAGCCCCGGTGATGTAATGACAATCCAGCAGGTGCTCGATTAATTAACAATCATACGCTTAATCTCTTATTACATTTGCCCATAAATGATTTCTTCTCGACCATTTTTCATCGTTTCCTTTTTTAACAAACTTGCTAAACATCATTGATTGGCGTCGCAGCGATAAGAAGAAATTATTTGAAATTTGCAATTTTACCTTTATAATACTTCGCGTAGACTCGATCAAATGCTGAATATCTAACATGTTACTATCAATTTTATCATCTAGCGGCTCTTGCACCTCGATACTTTTACTCCCACTAATGGCGAATATTTATGTTTTATGGTAACAGCCCTGGGGGCAGCCTACGGCACTGCCAAGTCAGGCACCGGAATCGCAGCCATGTCTGTGATGAGGCCTGAGCTCATCATGAAATCTATCATTCCTGTTGTCATGGCGGGTATCATCGCCATTTACGGTCTAGTCGTGGCCGTCCTCATCGCCGGAGCTCTCGAGGATGCAAAAAAATACACCCTTTACAGGTTCGTGCTCCCGGACTCACGCGGACATTATTAATTTGTAATGATGAGCCGTCCTTGACAATAGCAAATCTATATTAATGTTCTTTTGAGAATTTTATTCTGTTAAACGGTACGCCAACGGCGAGTTTGGAACTTTAATACAAAAAATGCGAAATCCCGAAAATAGGTGAGTAGCAGAGAGAGTTGTTATGAAAAAACAGTAAATCAATTATTATTGATATTTAGAGTTGAATTATTAGATCCATGGATGAGAATATGAAGGTCTGTTTGTTTTTTTTTTTTTTTTTTTTTTTTTTTTTTTTTTTTTTTATGATACGTAAGTAATAGTGAATAAATTATTCAACTAATGTTTTTGCAAAATTTATCATCTTTTTTAACGTACTCTCGTAGTTTGACTAATCTGTTTCTCCTAATTTTAATATCTTTTTCAAGGTACGCTAATGTCAACTGCTCTCGACCCTACTCTCGACGGCAAAATCATTTACTGACATTTTATAACGAATTAAATCCATAAATTTTATTATCGATGTATTCCGAGAACCAGAAAATAAAATTGATGAAATAATTGATAATCGATAGAAACGAAAGACAATTCAAATATTTAATCATTCTATTTTAAGCATTATTAACGTATTAAAGTTACGACTCTAAATAGATTTAATTCTCTCCGTAAGCTCTTGCTTTAATTTCTTTGCAATTAAATGCATTTGTGTAACGAAGCAACTTTATTTGCTGAATTTGCTACTGCTTTTGTACCGCTTGAATGAGCTTATACGAGTTATTGCTTTTAATAGAACTCCAAGCAAGTACACAGTGATACATACGTGTATATAAATGCATATATATATATATATATATATATATATATATATAGACAGAGTGAAGCTGTTTTCTTTAATGTAAAGGTGATTCTTAAAATTGTTAAGATCACTGACAGATTAAGCATGATTTTGTCAATAAATAAACGGCCAGACTAAAAAGTCTGTAACGACTATACTCGCTCGTTACAACTGAATGCTCGGATCTTTGTTTTATTACCGTTTAGTATTACTTGCACCGTTATTGTTACACTTTTTTTCTAATTTCAAAAGTACATACATCGAAAATAGCCACGTATGCATGAGATTCCAGGATAATATTATAGATAGTGATTTGAAATTAAGCCGTTTAAACGTAAAACCCGGTTACTTATACCAATTGCACTGCTGAAGGTAAAGTAATCAATCCGCAACTGGGCTAAATAATTATAATAATGAGAAAAAGAGACGTCGATCACTGAGCGAATCACTTATGGTAATGACTCGAGGCATACATTTATTTACATGCACAATGCTTAACCCTAAAATGATCATTGGCTTTGCCATTTTCATGAAGATGATAAACGAGGTAACGAGTGCTTTATATTTTTTATAGAGGATTCGTTCATCTCGGTGCTGGATTGGCGGTCGGCTTCTCTGGTCTCGCCGCGGGTTTCGCCATCGGCATCGTGGGTGACGCCGGTGTCAGAGGAACGGCCCAGCAGCCGCGTCTCTTCGTCGGTATGATCCTCATTCTCATCTTCGCCGAGGTTTTGGGTCTCTATGGTCTCATCGTCGCCATCTACCTGTACACTAAGCAAAATTGAACAACTCGATCGCGACGCTCTACAAAAGGAAAATCCAAGTCATGATTTTCTCTCGCGATTCCTACGCTTATTATCTCCAATTGTTTGTTGAGCCTACATTGCTTAGTTGAAATGCGCCAACGATTGTACAATTATACATATACATATATATATATATATAGAGAGAGAGAGAGAGAAAGAGAGAGAGAAAGAGGGAAGAAAAGCGGTATTCCGTTATCGAGTCCTTCAAACTTCATTCGTTTACCATATTATAATATTCTCCTTTTCGTTCTCTCCTTCTTTTTTATCTTGTATTTTAAACGATAACAAAAACAAACCTAAAACGCGATTATAGATGGAGAAACATTTTTAGCGCGAATCGCCGGTTGTTTTCTTTTACTGTTCTGTGAAGGAAAAAAGTAATGAATAATCAAACAAAAATTAATAACAATTGCAAAATAAAATCATGATTTTGATTTCTATCGTAATCCGAACAGACTGGATTAGCACAACCCCGACACTGATTAAAAAAATAAAAACAACAAAAAAAACGTAACGAAGAATAATAATATCGAGTTGACGTCACTCGTGAAGGAACCACAAGACTTGTCGCCTCCAGCCAACGACAACTTTAATACACTTTTGAAACTCAAGTTAGAATATTATGAGCGTTCCGTCACGAAATTCCGTTTAAAATTAGCAACCGAAGTAAACACAAAACTCAACTAATCGCAGGCATATGCTTTTATTGCGCATATTTTAATGTAATCATCGTCAATCATCTCTTCGCATCCTCCCACAATTAATATATATGCATATGTATTAATATTATAATTCAGATCGATCGATTAGTTAAATCTAAGCTCTTAATGTTGAGAATGCTTTGCAATTACATGTATGAAAAAAAAAAACAAATGGTATAAATTAATGAAGCATTCACTTGTATAGTAAGCACTTGCAGTGGGTGCGAAAGACAAATAAACTTTAAAACAAAACAAAAATTAAAAAAAAAAAATAAAAAAAATACTTAATCGCGAGAGAGTCAGAGTAAAAGTTTGAGAGAATGAGATTCATATATACGCAACATTTATTAAAAGGTAATAATAATTATGAATACGGAGGGCGCAAGAGACGTCGGCGTTATATAAAAAAAGGCAACAGAAAATATGTCAAAAGACGACCATCGGTTTAAACAAACGAGTGGTTTGCCACCCCATATCCCATGCCGAAACCTTTCTCTTTCATCATTGTATAGTAATCATTTCTAGTATAGTTTGACATTGAATTATTAATTGAACTTATTGGCTCTACTGAGTGTATAAAGTAAAATAACAATAAGAAATGAAGATAAGCAGGCGAAAAGAATAACGTTTATCAATAAATGAACACTTAGCACAATTATATAAAAAAAAAAAGAAAAAAAAATATATATATAAATATATGTATACATACATAAAATGCAAGCGATGCGGCGACGATGATACAATACTGTTTATAACAAAACAAAAAAAAAACAAACAAACAAATCTAAGTCGAAGCTAGCCTTATGTAGAGAGAATGTGAGAAAGCGAAAAGACGTTCGAAAGATAATTCAACGTTACGATTGGAAAATTGAGATTGAAAACAGAAATAATAATAATAATAATAATAATAATAATAATGGAACGGATATATTCAACGGTTAAATTAGCATGATGGAGTGCACCAATGGCAGACCCATATACACGGGCACATACACGATAGTATTAAGTTAATCGAGAGAGGCTCTATGCACCTGCGTGGCTTAGAGAGAGAGAGAGAGAGAGAAAAGTTTAATAACACGTTTAATAATGGCAATGTTTCACCGGAGGTGGGTCGTCGTAGAAGACAGTGATCGACCCTGTGCGCTAATCTCGAATGAGCAAAAGGCACGAGAGAACAGCGCACAGCCACACACCAGCGCATGCACACTTAATGAATTAAGAATAGTCGTGTTATTTAGATCGAATATGTATTGAGGAATGCGGCACAAGGTAAAGAGAACTGGATCTATCGACGAGGCTATAAGAACCGTCAGACGGAAGGACAATATTGTTACGACGCAGAGTTTTGTGGAGAGAATTTTAATGAGAGTCTTTAAAAAAATTTGTACATTCCATAATAAGTTCGTTCAATTAATGAAAAGTTAAAAGCGAAGGAGAAAAAATGGTTAAGTAATTGTGAAACGACGAGGGTAATAAATGCAGGGACGAGCGGGGACGCTAACACCGCCAAAGGATACCGGAGAGAGTCCTCCGAGCCTCAGAGCGTATAGCCTTCGGCATACGCAACTCTCTTCGCCCTCGTGACGAGGCCGAAGACTTTCATCATTCGCTCGCTCACCCTCCCGCGGATCAACTCAACACCTCACCATCGAACGCTATCGCGAGCTCCTTGAAAGGCGAACGAAACGCAACCGCTCGTTGCATTTTATCATTGTGCAGTATTTCCTATTTATAAAAACAACATGCAGACGAAAACAAGCGCAACCTGCAGTTGCATTTCTGCCTGGTGAGTGGGTCAGAGAGGGGGGCGGTCAAGATAGGGTAGAATGGAGGTGTATTGTCATCACCAATTCGAGGCGAATTCGCTACCGACCAAAGTTTTTGTTTCGTCGCGTAACTCCCGTTAGCGTATGTTTTTGTTCTAATAGCATTTAAGCTTTTTAGCAAGATGCGACAGTGTTGCAGAAAATTTGTTGCGAGCTCGTCTGCGCTCAGGAGTAAACGTAAATACAACATCCGGGGTAATGGAACGGGAGTTGGGCAGAAATGCGCCTGCAGCTGCTAAGAAAAGATCGTAATCGAGATAATTTATTTAGAAACAAAAACAATAAATTCCAAAAAAAAAAAAAAGAAGAAGAGTCTACGGACCAGGACTAGGACTAACCGACGGACGGGCAACAGCAATAGACAAAAGGGGGGCGGGAGGGAACGAAGGCTCGTTCAAATTCTCATTGGAGGGTGAAAATTAGGGCGAATAAACCTGACAGCGGAGGATAATAGTGACGATCGCATAAGCGGATCCAAAAGTGAAAGCGAGATAGAATATGTGGCCAATATTGATAAAAATGAAAAGATAATGGAAAAGCAACACCGATAAGGCAAGGCATGAAAGAGAGGAGCGCGTGAAAAACTAAAAAATTAAGGAAGAGATATTCTCGAGTATTTAATTGAGAGATAAGTTAGTGGAAGATGAAGATTCAACGGGGGAGTGTTAATGAGCCGGGGAGCGCGGAGGTGGAGGTTTAACATTTTTTCTGCAGCGATAAATCCGTGTGAATTTGTGTAATAATCGACGCATAATTGAACCCAAATGTAATCATAATTATTATAAATGCACGTACCGAAAGAGAAATTTTTCAAAATCAATCGACTAGTATGCGTTACATTCTAATATCCTCTCTTTCGCAACATACACCCACACCCACACACCCGCCTGTGTATAAAATACGTATAAACATAAATACCTAATTGTATTGTCATATATTTATTGATTTATGTTTATACATTAGCATTTCTGTATCGAATATAATAAAATCTTCGAATTCCCTAAATGAGAGACAAAGAGAAAGTAAGTGAAATTAATTGTATGTCTGTATTGAAATATGTATACTATATGTATATATGTGTGATATCTATATATATATATATATATATATGCATATATATATATATGTGTGTGTGTGTGTGTATGTATGTATGCATATACGTATCTATATACATATAGATATTTTCAGTCCTACACATGAATCTATATAGTGCGCGCGTGTGTTGTACATATGATGAAATTTTGTCGATCCTTTGTGCTGTTATTAATAATGGCTTGGAACTAGAGATTCGTATGAATCTCGCATAATATGCTAAGAGCTCTTGTAGCTATTGTCGAGCATGCGTGCCTGAATGAATGTCAAAGAAATAAATGAATAGTATCAAAAGAAACGGCTACAGTAAGAATGAGAAAGGGAATAAGGTAGGGGAAAGAGAGAAATAAGTAAGAAATAAATAATAAAAATAGTGAGCAAGTTGATTGGAAACCAGTGGAAAAAGGTGAGTCTGAATATTAATGAATGAAAAAAATTAGAGAAATAGTGTGCATGTATGATACAGAAGTTTTGCACTGGTAGGAATAAAAATGATGAAGATGACGCCGCCGCCTCCGCTGCCTCCCTCCACCCACCCACCCTCAACCCCCAAATCCCTCACCCATAGTACTATCTTCCAGTGTTACTAGTAGATTCATTGTTGAGCGCTGAAAGTGATACTGATCAATAAATATTTATGTTATGATTCGTCCTCGATGTTACAGAAAATCGTGTTTAATAAAAATTTAATTTGGACAAACAAATATCACTCTAATCTATCTTTAATTTCCTGTCCTATATTAAAATTATCATAATAATAATAATAATTATTATTATCGTTGTTGTTGTTCTTGATATGAACTTCATATATATTGCCTTCGATGTCATTAACATGTTTATAACATTAAAAAATGAAGAATAAATGGCACTCGTCTATTATTATTATTTAAACAATAAAGTTTAAAAATTTTACGCAAATGTAATTTTCCAGTGTAATTTAATAAATTATATCTGTCTTATTGATAGATTACGATTTTCTTTTTTTTTTTCAGGCATAAATTTTATAAATAAAAAATAAACAAAAACATAAATCTTATAAAAATGTAACATCAACTTCTTATCATGTTAATGTCCTTTTAAAACTTTTTGAATAAAATTAAAGTACCAGCTGTAATCTATATTTAATTAACTAATGCAACTAGAGAAGAGAATTCTGCTTTATCGATACTTAAATATCGACATTTTCTGATATTATTGATAAAGAGATAAAGGTAATAGCTTTAACGTAAATTATAAATTACTAAATAATAAATGACATTTTAATTATAAAATGTATATATTTCTAAATTGTTTTAGACGTATAGCAAGTACAAAAAATATGTAAAATATTTTCATTTTAGTTAACATATATAAATTAAATATATAATGAGTAATTTAGAAATTTATCATTATTTATTTCTGCCTATGTGTTAATAATTTCTTAAACTATCTTTATTAAACATATTCAAAATTGTTGCAAAACGGTACGTGAATCCGTAAGACAATGCCATCAACAACTATATACAATTATTAAACAATAAATAAATAGTATCTTAATGGCGCAAGAT